ATACATTTATATATAACTCCCAGAATAAGCCTTTGAACCTTGTAATTTAAATAATGCATATATATATCTGTCTCATACTCTCTTATTAACAATTCAGCCCAAAATCCTCTCTAAAAAAGAAGCCCGAAAAAATTTTAATATTCTTGTCAAATTTCATGCCAAATTTCAGCTTCAGGCAATATTAGCATCATCTAATTTAACATCAGTCGTGATAATAATTTTACAAATTGTATGGTATACAGCCATCCAAACTTTATCACACTTTATCTAGTAAAAAGTTGCGTGTTACAGAACGTTATTAAAGGCTCAAAGTAATAAATGTCGTTCGTACATACACAAATTTTTACTCAATAATGTTCTTAATTTGACTTGATTATCCGTTTAACATTATCTCCCTTAATTCATTAAAATTGTAGAAATAATATTAAATAATCTCCCCTATTTTTTAAAACCTACATGAGCCAATACACATTAAATTAACCAATAAAATAGCAGTCAGTTTTTATCTAATATTATTGTTTTTTCAATACCCACAACCCTTTCTTACAAGTCATCTTATGTTAAAACAGAAAATCAAATTAGTCTAGCCTTAAATGGAAAATTTGTGTATAAAGTACCATTATCATGAACACATTTACTTAATAACACATTAGTATCCGGCAAAGTTAGCGTCCTGATACCCTGCTTCATATTTGAGTGTCGCTAAAAGAAAACCCGAAAATTTAAATGACTTATATTTAAATTTTCGGGTTTTCTTTTAACGACACTCATTTGTCGCCAACTGTCTTTGTTGTGAAGATGGAAAATTTTATTTTAACTTTAATATCCAACTGTAAATAGGTTTTTTATTTTTAGCTTCTTATTATCTGCATAAATATAAAATTAAAATTCTTTAAAATCGGTACGATGTAAAAAAAATCCGATATAGAGAATTTCCTGCACTTGAAACAAGTAGCTAAAACTGAATGACGCTATATGAGCATTTAAAATGTCCTTAATTGTGCCTTTTTATTGTTAACGTTATATTTGTTTAATTATCTGCCATCCATCAAAGGTTTTATCAATCGCCAAGGCTTCGTCATAAGTTTTATATTACGAAATGTTTTATAATAAGGATGTTGTAATTTCGTCAAGAATATTATTTAATACCGTACAGCGCAGGCTATAGTACCCAGGTACGATATATTCTAAAGGCAAAATAATTTGTTTAATAAATGAGATACCGATTTTTTATATAAAAAAAATTTACATGGATATATTTTCGGGGTTTTTTTACATTCCACATGAAAATTTTAATAGACTTTATATGTGGGAAGTAATATGGTCTACACTATACGGTAGTATTTTAATAATTTCATAACTAAACATTACTCTTATCAATAACAAATTACAGAAAGTGAGTATAAATATAAAAAATGCTTATTACAAAATTAATCAATATACTTAACAATTATATAAATTACAGCATGTGGGTATAGCTTTCAAAATATTGATTTGTAGATCAAATTTATAATGGATTAACAAATTATAAATCATACTACATATTTATATACAAATAACTTGTTATAATACTATATAACAAAATATTTGAAATATCATAGGTGGTTATAGCAACTGTTGAAGAATATGAAATACCGAAAAATTTTCAAAACCAATTTGAAAATGCAATAGGTGATGTGAAAAAATTATTAGAAAAATTGGAACATCAAGAAGATAGAGAATATTTTCAAGAATGTCTTCGAAAAATACGAGATGCATTAGAACATCAAGAAGACAAAGAGTATTTTCTAAATTATTTTAAAAAAATTAATAATCAACTTGATCATTTTAAAGATTTTGATGAAAAAGCCCTGGAAATCAGTGATTATTTTAATTATATGATCAATTCGACATTTGAGATTCTTTCTGGTTCAGCTAATTTACAAATGAAAATTTTTTCATCAATTGAGAGATTGAATAATATTGACTTAGAAAGTTCTCAAGATGAAATTAACTTGTCATTCGATGAAACTGATGAATATTTATTTAAATGGATTAATTATTGTACTGAGATTACTGACCAATTTGAAAAATTTTTTGAAGACCATAGCAATCTTATTAAGAATATAGAAGATAGTCTCTTTTTTTTTGAAATTCAAGAAGAGATATTAACTAAAATTCATGATATTAAAACCAATTTACTTCATAATTCGGAAGAAATCGATAAACCGAAAATAAGAAGAGTGAGAACACTCTTTTCAAGCTCTGAAGAGGTGAAGAACTAATAATTATTTTTGAAAAATACTATTATATTTAAATTTTTTTACTGTAGATAAAAAAAGAAGCATATTCAAACTTCCTTCTCATCATCGGGTTGAAATTAGTATATGATTTAACTGCTAAATTAGAATATACGACAAGTAGATTAAAGCTTTTGGATCTAATATCTATTCAAAAAATATCAGGTTCATATTGTTATTCATACTTTAATAAAATTTAAATTAATTATTAATATTATTTAACTTTATTATGCAATAGAGGAGTTTTGGGAAACCCTTTCTAAAGAATTATCTAAAGTATTAAGCAAGGAATTAGCGAAGAATTTTGTAAAATGCGAATTATATGCTAAAGAATGTTATCTTGATTATATGGCAGAAAATTTGACAAAAATAAGTTGTTTAGTTAATAATTTTTGCAGACAAATCGTATTTGAAAGATTTTTAAAAACTTAGAATTATCTTTAAGAGAATATGAGACAGATATATATATGCATTATTTAAATTACAAGGTTCAAAGGCTTATTCTGGGAGTTATATATAAATGTAT